TTCACCAAAGCACCATTTCACGGCTCTGGGAGAGATATCGCCGGCAGAATTCGGTAGCAGATGCCCCTCGTAGTGGGCGACCTCGAGCGACCACTGCGGCGCAGGATCGCTACATCCGGGTACATCACCTGCGTCATCGAACAGCTACGGCGACCAGTACCGCTCGACAAATACCCGGATTGAGGAGGCTTTCTGCACAGACCGTCAGGAACAGGTTGAGAGAGGCTGGTTTACGTGCCAGAAGACCTTATTTTGGCCCTGTGCTTCGACAACAACATCGTCGACATCGAGTTCAATGGTGCACCAACGTTCAGGCCTGGAACCTACCGAATTGGCGTAGAATCTGGTTCAGTGATGAATCACGATTTCTATTGGAACGACGCGATGGAAGAATGCGGGTGTACAGACGTCGACGTGAACGTTTCGCCGACGCTTGCGTTCCCCAGGTGGACAGATTCGGCCGGGGCAGTGTTATGATGTGGGGAGCGATCACCTGCCGTAGGAGAAGTGATTTGGTGATGATCCAGGGCAACCTGACAGCACAACGGTACTGCACCTCCTTCCAATCATTGATCGCCAGAGGGAGTTGTTTCAACAGGACAATGCCAGGCCCCACACAGCACGTCACACTAGAGACTTCCTCCAGAACCACAACATCAATGTGCTCCCCTGGCCCTCAAGATCACCGGACTTAAACCCGATCGAACATCTGTGGGATGCCCTGGACAGACGGGTGCGACGCCGTAACCCTCAGCCCCAGACACTTCAGCAACTCGCACAGGCACTACAGGCAGAGTGGGCTGCGATTGGGCAACACGAGATTCTGAGACTTATTCGTTCGATGCCGAGGCGATGCCGTGCAGTTCTGGATGCCCACGGTTGTCACACGAGGTATTGACTTCAGCGCCACCACACGTCTCCATGTGACACTCAAACTGACTTTCCTCGAGTTGGTGCCAAAGACGGATAAGTCTGCATTCCCAGTGTGCAATTTCGCTATATTTCATTGACTCATAAAGCCTACAAGATGTTTCAAAATAAACATAAAAATACAGTTGAAATTCCTATATGCGTTTCTTTTTTGGGAGAGTATATAATTGATAACTATAGTTTAATTAATTAAATGTGTAAAGTTTTCAAATAAAATATTGTGTTCATGTGTAATCAAGAGTGTATATTCATAGACTCCTAGAAACAAAAATCACTGTCCTAAACATTGTCCGTGGGATAATACGTTATAAGGAGGTTTGATTGTATATTGCGTTATTAATCTTGTATTTTACGTTATGAAAAACATTTATGTTCTTTTATGTTCTTTTAGCACAAACTACATCTATGTAACCTCAAACCGATAACACTCATTGTCGGTAACGGCAAATTCCGATTATAACGTTTACACAGCATTAAAGAATTAATCAAATTTACAGATTCATATTACGTTATACCATCGTTCATCACATGAGTATCGTATCGCACTATCGTCTTGACAAGTGCGCCAACTCACCTATGCATGTTGCAACCTATATTTGACAATTTATCCCCTGGATTTAATGTATATAGCCGATCGTGTATAGACAATAAATATATAACGTAATATACAGAACGTAAAGCACAATAACGATATCGATGTTCGCTGGGAGCCAACCGATATATTTGGCATGACTTTGCAGATTTCTCCATTTGCTGGCATAATTAGCACCGAACCAACTCATAGTATGATTTGACGCATGTTTATTTTCTCCATTTTGCCATAAAGGCCATAAGGTAAAATACATCCTTAACCATACGGTTAAATCTTAATAGAAAGTTGTTACACTCAAGTATGTAAAGACACCATATGATATGAAACGTTTTGGTTTTCTTTTATTCCACAATTAAATAAACTGACAACGCGATAATACAGATGTTCACTGCAAGTTAGAATTGAATTTCAGCTGAATATTAGTCCATAACGTAAAATACACGAAAACAGCGACATAGAACATTTCATTTTTTAGTGAAATTTAAGAAAATGCTTAACAGTATGAATATTAGTCCATAACGTAAAATACACGAAAACAGCGACATAGAACATTTCATTTTTTAGTGAAATTTAAGAAAATGCTTAACAGTATGACTTCTTAAAAGTTGTCTAAATAGATCTTGTGCTGTCATTAGACACTTGTTTCCGCTTCCACAACTCAGCATGTCATCTCATAAACGTAGTCGATATACCATCTCCTGTTGGCGACATTCCTATTTTGACAAGTTCACTCTTGGCTTGGGCATTTTTCACAAATATGGACTGCAAAGTGTGACACTAAAGTTAATTATTATGTTGCCACTTCGATTTTAAATTAAATCAATCATATATTGTAACGCTTTAATCGACCAATTACTGGAACATGTATTGTATATGGAGACGACATGAATTGTTAGTAATTGTGCACTTATATTGAGAATGAGTGAATGCCGTTCACACTCACTCAATCATTCCATGCTCGCTCGGCGTCATCATGCCGGATTTATTTACTCTAAATCATACCTGTCTAAGAAATGTTCACAAATTATTGGATCAAACAAGCTTGTATAGTCATAAATCTAAAACTGTTTCTATTGAAATTAGTTACAAAGACATGTCTACTTGCAAGAACCAAGATTATGTAGATTACCAGTGAGTGAGAGAGAGAGTTAGTTTTATGCCGCTTATAGCAACATTTCAGCATTATCACACCGGGGGTCACCAGAAATGGGCTTCACAAATTGTACCCATGTAGGGAATCGAACCGGGGCCTTTGGCGTGACGAGCGAACGCTTTAACCACTATGCTACCGCACGGCCACTGCAGATTACCAATAGAAAGGAACCATTGCTGGAACTCAAGAATACCATGTTGTTTGTATTCCCTGCCGTGAATCATCAGATCATCAGAGAGCGACGGACTCAGTATGTTTTTCCCGTATTTGTATTCCACGAGCTCGTGAAATTAAAGAGTCATCATTAGAAGATTGATTTCGTGCTTTTAAATGAGAATTAGTTTTCTAATGTCTCTTATTGAGTGAACGTGGCAAAGACGTCCTGAGATGATATCCAGCTTCAAGGATCGGTTTGCTCAAATAACCTGAGAACACCCTTTGTCCGTCTTGCGCCTAAATTGCCCGAATAACACGATGAGCTTGCTCGAGGCAGTGACAGCGCAGAGTCGAAGTCAGTAAAGGAAATGCAGTGCATTTTACCTACGGAATTCAAATGTCGAGGTGACGAAAGAAAACCTAAATTAAACGTGCGTAAACAGTTTGTACTACCCAGAATGGGCAGAGGTATTTGGGTGTTAGGGTGGTGGTGTATGAATAGGGTGGGACTGGGCAAGGACCGGACTGATATCAAGGCTCAGTTCAGGCATTACGATGAAAACGTGAACAGTATACGTAATGTACGTTGTTGTCTCCCGACTTTGGTAAGTGTGTAAACAGACACAGTGTCCGAAGCTGGGTAGTATTGTTCAGACCTGAGACCATATAATAGAGGGCCGTCCCTCTATTATATGGTCTCTGTTCAGACTTAGACAAGGTGTCTGGGGGCAACAACCACTAACTTCTTCCCTTGCAGTGTGCCAGGTGACTACAGTGAACAGGAAGGTCCCCTGTGTTTAGACTGTGTTTTATGCGGCAGTATATATATGGGATGGAAAGTCACGAAGAATATCGTTCGGGGACAAACCCACTCGTAATTTAAAGTTACCCCCTTGGTAGTGATTCACTTCCGAGTCTGATTTGTTTGTTAAAGATATTCCGCGAGGATGTGCCTTCTAATAGGCTGGCAGTAAGACGAGGGCAATTTTACGATCTAACTTGAGACGTTTCTCCTTGTCCAATGCGGTCGATATACCTTTTGTATACACTGACTTATTATATGCATCAAACACTGTTTCCAGGATTCAGAAGCGGATGTACCTCATGCATGATATTCGACAGTGCTAAATACTGAACTTTTGAGTCCTCTGAATAATAATTATTCCTACCGCCACCTAAACTACTCAAAGTTTGATAAGGATAATTACTAATGACATCTAAACTTCATGCGACAAATTGAAATATCCTGGTGATGACAATGGCTGGATAACCCCCATGGGACCTCAGCTCAGGAATCACCCGCACATCATTTACAGAGAGCACAAGAACAGTTGAAGGACTGAAACAACTGAATGGCTGTATATGTGTACCCTCATCGTCGTAGACGTCGTTTGAGGACGAGGCAGATGCAGTCATGCTTGAAACTTGGTCAACACAACATCACGTTGCAAACGTCTTTGGTGTAAGCCATAAGTGTAATCTCGAAAGATAACGAAAATCCGTACCATTGTGTGTATTGAATAAAACAACAGTCCGTACCATCTTGCGTCTTGACTAACACAATACGTACTATCGTACGCCATGACTATACAGAGACCGTACTGTCGTACGTCATGACTAACACAGTCCGTACCACCGTGCGTCTTGACTAAAACAGTCCGTACCATCGTACGTCTTGACTAACACATTCCGTACCATCGTGTGTCTTGACTAACACAGTCCGTACCATCGTACGTCTTGACTAACACAGTCCGTACCATCGTGCGTCTTGACTAACACAGTCCGTACCATCGTGCGTCTTGACTAACACATTCCGTACCATCGTACGTCATGACTAACACATTCCGTACCATAGTGCGTCTTGACTAACACAGTCCGTACCATCGTGTGTCTTGACTAATACAGTCCGTACCATCGTGCGTCTTGACTAACACAGTCCGTACCATCGTGCGTCTTGACTAACACAGTCCGTACCATCGTGCGTCTTGACTAACACAGTCCGTACCATCGTGCGTCTTGACTAACACATTCCGTACCATCGTACGTCTTGACTAACACAGTCCGTACCATAGTGCGTCTTGACTAACACAGTCCTTAACACACACAGTGTAATCCCTCTACTTTAAACGCTGACCACATGTCTTACACAAATAACAAGGCACATTTGTATACAGATACTGACGGAAACTCTTTATTGACAACACAAATGCCATATCAAGACTTGTTTGGCAAATAAATTCAACCCGCAAAATGACAAAAGATAGGGTCACGTACGTAAAGATGTTTAAATAATAGTAATTTTGTACAATGATAAATGTCGAGGAATATGTACATCACAAGTCCGACCTGACGAGTGTCACGTGACACTTTGAATTATGACACGTGAAACAAACTATGAAAACAAGCAAACAAACATTGATTTCAAATACATCACGTATTCCTGTACTTCGATTAATTCTGACCCAACTAGCTTGGTTCCTAGCCATAGAGTAGATGACTGTCAGTGAATAACGCGGATGTGCTCAGGTGAGCTGTGATCAGGTCGTGATATATGTATTCATACACAACCTCAACTTCCATCTCGGCTTTGTACACAGTGCGAACGGCAGCTCGCGAAGAGATGAAAGTGTTAATGCAAGGTATATTTAATAGTCTTGTGTGTCTGTACCTTGACCTTAGGTCAAGCCCAAACAGTATAGAGAGGTAGATGTGACCGACAGACAACTGTCCGTCTGTCCGATTGTCCGGCCTTTGCCACAGGGAACGCCAGGACATGTGGTCTGAATGTGACCCAGAAAACAGTATGTACACGTGGTGACATGGCCAGTTCTTAACAGCTCCCTAACACGGGGAGGGAAACAGGCAGCATGAACGCCCTTCACTCCATTAACAGGTGCTCGTTGTAACCACGCATGCGTAATCATCCCTCTTGTCCCAGGAATACGTGTTTCTTCACAAAGGGAGATTGACATGGGCCTGCTGCGTCGAGTGTCAAGGTCGCTTGATTCGTGGTACTTTCCCTTACAATAGCATCAGGATGGGGCCATGTTCGTGCATCACTAAACATAGTCCTAGCTACACACGTGCTTCCTCGCATCCGGCGTTGACACCATGGACCAACCATCAGTAATTATGCAATACATACACTATGAAGTAACACTGCATAAATTATATGCCTATTATACATATATGTCGACCAACTATTACCAACAATTACAGTCTAACAGTCACAGCAGGATAACCTCTGTCTGCCTCCCATGCTTCTCAGTCCCAAGGTTGTACCGTGAATCGTAACTGTTGATAACGGGCTCTGTGTAATCTCAGAGCCGTCGACCACAACCATGACGTAATAACGCTTCCTCGGGGCCCTGCAACCCGTGACAACGTCGAAGTGATGACGTCACAAACAGCGCACCCTATCGACATGCGCACGACTGTACTGTCATCCCCGGGTAGTTCTTCAGCACAACGTTTCGGTTCTCGTCGAAGTAGAGCAATGTTACGGAGGACATGGCGTCGGGGACACAGCACGGGGCGGGGACATTGGAGTAGATTCCTATGGCGTTTACAATGCTCTGTATTGTCGCATGGTTGGATGGTCGGAGGCGCTGAAAAGAGCAAGAAAATCCATTGTTAGACATGGGATCACTCACAATACTTCAAAAATAGAAGTCAGAAGTCAAAATGATAATTCAACCATAATGGCAATGGTTCGACTTGTCGCTTTGTGGTATGTGAAGGGATGGGCCAATAAGTGAGTGATATAGCTGGTTAAAGGGGAAACGATTGACTGGTAATACGCTCTGGACAAAGACGAGGGACAGTGACCATGTCGACAACGACAGATGTACATCATTCGGTAGTCACGTCGACTTCAACGACACAGTCGACTTCTGGAGGAATGTTCTCGTTTGGAACAATGCATCAACAACAGACATTCTTACACAAGTAAGGGAAGCGTTGAATTGATCGGGGAGATATGTGTCTCAATCACGATAACCGCGGGAGATCCAACACAATGTACAAACACGACATAAATAAAACTCCACTTTTCTTTGATATCGTACAAACGCGAACCACATTTAATTCAATTCATGCTTCATTTACCGTGAGCCATCCAACCAATATGGGTTCGGATAGTTAAATCTATTTGTTTTGAGACATTAATCAATGTAGAAAACTTTTGAAAAAACACTACAAAGCGTTGTTGTGAGGTTGGCCCTCCTGCCTTAATATTGGTCACATGTTTCCCAATTTGCTTCTCTTGGGTTGTAATGGTCTGGCGAGAATATAACTGTGATGAAGTAATTCAACGCTAAGATTCATTACTCCCGAGGGGTCAGAAATAATTCAGTCTTTGAGCAATAACTATTAATTTTCATGCTTTGAGGCACGTATGAATACAAACGAGAAATGTTTCATTACAACTGCGCAGTGACCTTGAACTGACCTCCAGCATCTCGCGCGCCGTCTGCTACGCCGTGGTCGGGTATGCGAAGTACAATGTACAAAAACTTCATTAAAAACTACTCAAATATGGATAATTTGTTAATCAAAACGTAGCAGGCGTGACACGTGTCACGGCTGTAGATAACAAAGGATATATCCCCCCGTAACCAACGAATGATTCCCATTCACGCACCTGACTGTTTTCATGTTACAAGTCTGATTCCACCGCTGTGAGCCAGTAATATCTTTGCAAGATCATTTAGAATAAGTATGTGCGTCTTAAGGTAAATTCTGTGTCACATTAGGCGCGGTGGTCTGACAGGCCAAAGCCAGCTATTGTGAAACACTAACAATAAAGGGTGACTGATAAACTTTTAGCAAGTGTTGGATTCTGTTTAAATACAGTGAATCTCTTAACACTGCTTTTTCAAACAATTACCTACCCACGCGGCGTTGTATTAACCATCCGCGCGTCAGGAATTCACCTATCTATGAAATATGACCCGCCATTGCGATCCCATGGATCTCTTTGACATACGCGAAGCCGCCGTAAGCCGGTATGTCCAATATCATTGGGTTTAACTGAACCTAGCTCCTTCGTTGCCCTCTTCCCAGCCCTGCATTGTCCTCGTCACCCACAGGGGGCTCTCACACCAAAACATCAAGCTTACATGGCCTGTCCTCGCTAATACCCGGGGGCAAGCCAGAACCACCCGCAAAGAAGCACAGCGCGGGCTGAAGGGTCGCAGACTGACGTTAAAACACGTCTCCATGGCGGAGGTTGGGTGTCTCTCATCTGGACACCTCCAGGAGACGGGCTGGCCCTGCAATCTCTCCCTGCATTGTGCCACTAGACCTACAGACGCTAAGGGCCTCTCGCCAAACAAACTACACATGAAAACATCGGACCCGTACTGGCGGCGTCCTGCGTTCCTTTTGATTGAAATTAAACGATGATGGATCTGCGGGGGTAAGCGTCCAGGTGGGGGACGTATGTTAGCACCTGGCTGGGGACAGATGACGATGACTACACACCTGCAGTGGTAGAACAAGGAGCATACGTCATAGGGAATTATCTTGATTGTTACATCCACACAATATGTAGTAGAGACGCTGATACTGAAACAACACTGTAATTCTTCACATGAGAATAGTAGCGAGAACTAGGAGCGTGGCCATACGTAGATTGCGCTAACATGTCCCAGAACAACAGTAGAGAGATATGTACACATAATGAAGAGAGTGAGTGTTTTTAAAGCGCCTTAAACAATATTCAGACTCTATCAAAGCGATCTAAATCAGTGAGTCTTGCGATGGGAAGCAGGCTGGTACCAACTTGTGCAGCAATCCATTGGGACACTACAATACGTACAAGCAGTCAAGTCACATTCTGTACCATCCACTTGCCAGTACACGTCTCCAAGGGAAAAGCATGGAAACTAAGACTTAATCTGGCCTGAATCTGGCCTGAAAACTTGTGTCTCGTGATGGCGGTGTCTCGCGAGGATACCAGAAACCTTCGCCTAAGTAGAATGCATTCAATGTGAGAAGCAGCTTGTTTTGGGAAGTGGGAACACTTGTACCAATGAACGTCGAATATTGAGTTCGCCATGGTTATATATAATGACGAATTAACATAATTTCAGAAACACATTTGACGTCCATTGCTGTTTCAACGCTTGATCTGAGATTTCATTGGTAAACAAACATTAGCCAGATATTGGCAAAAAGGTGGCCTTACTGAAGGTGATGATAATAACACTCATGAATAGGACCACGATAACAAAGTTCAAAACACGTGCAAACAACTACGAAATAATAAAACAGTAACCATGGTAACAAGGTCATATTCCTCAACAGCGACCGAACCCATAAACATAACAAGTAAACCATAGGGTAATCTGGGCAATGGCCTCATACCAGCGAGATATTATTTTATGATTTAGTATTTCCAAGACGTATTCCATCTGACAAAACACCCGTGGGTAAAGCATGTCTGAGGTATGGCTGCTGGTAGTGGCATCGTTTCCAGGGCTACAGGTGGGCGGGTCGCGCGAGGGTCGTAACTCAACACAAGTTTCCAATCTCTCATAAACCACGTGATTAATACGCCACCTGGCGGGAGGTCCACCATATCGCTATCGGAAGCACAGAACGATTGCTTATATTTATAGTTTTCATTTTCGGCATGTCGCGATTTTACGTCTTCTTTAACACGACTAAAGTCGGACCACACAGTGAAGTCGGGTAATCAAAATATGGCACCGTTTACCTGTTTAGAAAGCTTATATCGTAAAGTTGAGTACAATATAAGAAAACCACAGGTATCAATATAAAACGTATACCTGGTTACACGTGCTTGGTTATACTAAAATGTCTGCGACCATGACCCTGTGTACAGCATACTGAGTCAGCCCTGAAGAAGCGAATGATATAAACTCAGATGAAAGTGTCAGCCAGTCATTTATAGGCTTTCCCTATCGTGATCATGATGAATGCGTTGCGAGCCGACCACGACGATGTCGTGTCATTCATAAAGTAGCACTGCCAACTGACTGTACTTGAAATCATTTTTCAGTCCGCTAGAGAGCGCCACCTGCGGTTAATGATGAGGAGGACATGTTGACTCGGGGATTTTCTCCGGCTTAGCAGGATTGACCTCCGCTCACAAGGTCACGTAGGGTTAAAGATAACGTCAGCCACTGTAGCACAACATGGTATCGTAGGATCGCCCAAACACAGGAACTTCCTCTCCCGGGTTGTCATCCGGGTAACCGTGCCAGTTTTCGGCATGTTGTACTTAACCTAACACTACATAATCTTGGGAACAACACAAGAGATTACATAAAAACATTTGTCGATCACGCATCTCTGTGTGTATTCATCCTGATGGTGACTTTCACACCTAGCCTACCTGGCTGGTTTGTGGAAAACGTCTGGAACTAGTCACCAGGTCTAACGGGGCAGAAGACGTCTTCGTAAACCTGCCAGAGGACGCCCAACTGTCTGCTGTTGACGTAGGTTAACCCAGTCACCTCGACCATTGTCCAACATTCTCATTAGGGTGTTTACTCGCTCGACGACCCATCTGTCGTCCAATCTTCTCATAGGGATACAGACATATCCAATACCCTATACAATACAGACTTATCCATCCCCTGGTAGGTTTACCAAACACCATCGTTTTGTCACATGAGTTTATACGACAAGAGGTACAAAATAGTTTCCCCACAAACCTAAATATTCAGTCAGAGATTATGCTGAATCTTCAGTGTTGCCTCGATAGCATTACATGTTGATGTATGGAATAGGATATAGGTATATAACCAAATTAAACGTCGAATTTTCTTTGGAGCCATGTTGCCACGATACCGTTGAAACACGCTTATTGCACAATTAAATTCTTACATTGATGAAAATAATATAATTATGAAAGACCAAAGGATCTGACGTTGTCACACTTACACGACCTTCCACAGCATAACAGAAACAGAATGAAAACAAGATCCTTTACTTTTACAACAGGTATTGTATATCTATACAAGAAGGAACAAGAAACACCATTGCTTTGGACAGTTTTTGTAGAGGACCTCTCAGATGATAGGAGCCGCACTGCCCTTTTTAATTGCGTTCTTTGTTTGTTTCGAAAGAACAAGTAAGGCACGCTCTCCCCACGTGTGAATGGCCATTTTTTGTCAAATGTCTGAAAGTCGAGTTGCTACATTATTTCGATTATTTCCAAATGTTGATTCAGATTGCACTGGGTTGTGTATCTAAGATTGATATATGTTGGCCTTTCTAGCAAGATTATTATCCAGGTGTCGTAAAGAATGGAACAACGTCTGATACTGACTCAAATACATCTAGTATATCCCTAGGAAATCCACGGTCAAGATTACAGTAGGTTCAGAAATAAAAAGTTTATCATCGCCTTATTATTATAGTTCATAAAGACAATTTCACAACTATTTTTTCTGTGAAATATTTTCATTTGAGAGACTTGATTCGAGTCTACTAACCGGCCAGCACAGTGAGTTATCTACAGACTATAACAGCAGCCATGATCAGAGAACATGGCGACACTGTGGCTCCCCGATATTCTTAAAAATGACTGTCGGTCACTTTTATGTTTCTCGTGGCCTCCCGTGTCCAACCCCCC